TGGCAGTGACCGCTCACCTCTCTCTGGCTCCAATTGTGGAAGGACCCTTGCCATCCTCACATGTAATGCAAGTGAATAGAACTTGCATAGACTTGATGATGTCAGTGGGCTTAGGCTTTATTATTTCAAAGCACACATTATAAATTTTAATTTAAAACATTACACAATAGTACAAATTGACATTATGTAGTAAATAGGGATAAATATCTAAAAAACGCTATATTTAATTCTGAAGGGTAATGCTTCTTTCAGGGACTTTGTTGGACAGATATCTGCATATTGTTCTGTGCTTGTACGATTGCTTGTCATTTTATATAGAGTTTCAATTGTCCATATTATTGTTTTTATTTTATATTATGGAGAATACAAGAAATGTTGGAACACACATAGGTCAGGAAAGATCTAACACTCCCAGAGTATCCAAGAAATATAAGAAGATAGCGGCTCCTCCTGTGTCTAAAATATCTCTGTTGTCACTAACAATTTAAAACCTAATTCCTGACAACAGATGTCTTTTGGTTTTAGAATATAGTTGGAAATAATTTAAACCTTCTCTCCTAGATAAACTATAGAACAGAATTCAGACTTTTACAGTTGTGTGAAAAAGTGTTGGCCCTTTTCTTGATTTTTCATTGTTTTGCACGTTTGTCACACTTTCATGTTTCAGATCATTAAACAAATTTAAATATTAGTCAAAGATAACACAAGTAAACACAACATGCAATTTTTAAAGGAAGGTTTTTATTATTAAGGGAAAACAAAGTCCAAACCCACATGGCCTTGTGTGAAAAATTGTTTGCCCCATAAATAAAATAACTGGTTGGGCTACCCTTAGCAGCAAGAACTGCAATCAAGCGTTTGCGATAACTTGCAATGAGTCTGTTACAGCGCTGTGCAGGAATTTTGGTCCATTCATCTTTGCAGAATTTTTGTAATTCAGCCACATTGGAAGGTTTTAGAGCATGAACCGCCTTTTTAAGGTCATGCCACAGCATCTCAATAGGATTCAGGTCAGGACTTTGACTAGGCCACTCCAAAGTCTTCATTTATCACAGCAAGTGTTCCAGGTCCTGAAGCAGCAAAACAGCCCCAGACCATCACACTACCACCACCATATATTACTTTTGGTATGATGTTCTTTTTCTGAAATGCGGTGTTACTCTTACGCCAGATGTAATGGGACACACCTTCCAAAAAGTTCAACTTTTGTCTCATCAGTCCACAGAGTATTTTCCCAAAAGTCTTGGTGATCATCAAGATGCTTTCTGGCATAACGGAGATGAGCTTTTATGTTCTTTTTGCTCAGCAGCGGTTTTTGTCTTGGAACTCTGCCATGCAGGCCATTTTGCCCAGTCTCTTATGGTGGAGTCATGAACACTGACCTGAACTGAGGCAGGTGGGGCCTGCAGTTCTTTGGATGTTGTTGTGGGGTCTTTTGTGACCTCTTAGATGAGTCGTCGCTGCGCACTTGGGGTAATTTTGGTTGGCCGCCCACTCCTGGGAAGGTTCACCACTGTTCCATGTTTTCTCCATTTGTGGATAATGGCTCTCACTGTGGTTCGCTGGAGTCCCAAAGCTTTAGAAATGGCTTTATAACCTTTTCCAGACTGATAGATCTCAATTACTTTCTTTCTCATTTGTTCCTGGATTTCTTTGGATCTGATGTGTAGCTTCTGAGGATCTTTCGGTCTACTTCGCTTTGTCAATCAAGTCTTATTTAAGTGATTTCTTGATTGCGAACAGGTGTGGCAGTAATCAGGCCTGGGTGTGGCTAGAGAAATTGAACTCAGATGTGATAAACCAGGGTTAAGTTATGTTTTAACAGGGGCGCAAACACTTTTTCACACAGGGCCATGTGGTTTTGGATTTTGTTTTCCCTTAATAATAAAAACCTTCCTTTAGAAACTGCATGTTGTGTTTACATGTGTTATATTTGACTAATATTTAAATTTGTTTGATGATCTGAAACATTAAAGTGTGACAAATGTGCAAAACAATGAAAAATCAGGAAGGGGGCCAACACTATTTCACACAACTGTACACCAAGGAAAGATCTAACACTCCAGAGTATCCAAGAAATATAAGAACATAGCGACTCCTCCTGTGCCTAAAATATCACTGTTGTCACTGACATTTTAAAACCTAACTCCTGACACCAGATTTCTTTTGGCTTTAGAATATAGTTGGGAAGAGATTAAACCTTCTCTCCTAGATAAACTATAGAACAGAAATCAAACATTTACACCAAGCTTAAAAACATGATTTAAGGTTAAACTGATAAAAATCAAACCATGAATAATTAGCGTAGCTACACAGTTTATTTTGCAATCATTTGGGTATTTCTACAAAGTTTCATCAAATGTTCAAACCAGTTTTATTTTACATACGTGCAATGCAGCCATCTTCTACAAATGTTTGTGGGCTTCATTAGGGGTAGGCAAGGCCCCGATCAAATTAGAAGGGCCATTGATATTATCACTTTGCTGCAGTCAGAGTAGGATGGAGGGCAATCACAATCTGGGCTTCTGTTGTCCATTGACTTACAAAAGGCCTTTGATTCAGTGTCTTGGCAATACCTTTTCCAGCTGCTTGAGAGATGGCGTTTTGGCCCTCTCTTTCTGAGCATGTTGCGGGCCTTATATACCACCCCGTCAGCACAAATTAGGCTATAGGGCCACATCTCTGATTCCATAGCTTTCTCGAAAGGCACACATCAAGGTTGTCCACTTTCCCCACTGCTTTTTGCATTGGCGATAGAGCCCCTAGCGATTGCGATACGTGCTAATGTTAATAATAACGGAGTGGGCTGTGGTAGGCAGGAGCATAAGTGTGCTTTATTTGCAGATTACTTGCTCTTCCCCCTTGACCACACTTCCTAATGTCCTGTCACTGTTGACTCAATTTGCTGGGGTATCTGGATTGCGGGTCAATGCATCCAAATCATTGGCTCTTAATATCAATATGCCCCAGAAATTGTGGTCTCGGTTGTTGGAACATTTTGATTTTACCTGGTCCACGGAGGCTTTGCAATATCTAGGGATTAAACTTACACCTGTTTTTTTACAACTATATAAGAAAAATTATATACCCCTGTATCACCAACTCCGGGAGGATATGTCTCAATGGGACTCCTGTAATTTGTCATGGCTGGGTTGCATTCATGCACTCAAAATGACGTTGCTCCCCAAGATCCTATATTACTTTCGGGCCCTACCCATAGCTATACATAAGCCAGACCTTTTGAAATTCCAATCCTTAATTATTAAATTTGTTTGGCATGAAAAATATCCTAGAATCTCGAAAACTGTACTGCATCATTCCAAACGGACAGGGGGTTTGGGTGTTCCCAATCTCTTGCAATACTATAAGGCAGCGTGGGTGGCTCAGCTCTCCTCTGTATAACCAATACTTTGACCTACTGTCGAGAGGTCTTGCACATGCCATCTTCTGAATACTTTCACTATAGACAATTGTTCCACTTTTAGATTCTTTGAAAACACCTAACATGATGTCTCCCTTCAAAACAACCTATGAACATTGGTGTCTTGGAGCTGGGGGCCAGAGGGGGGCGTCTCGCTCCTCTATTCCCTCTTGGTAGACTCTGAAAGTAAATTACCCTATATGTTATCTTGGGAACAAGACCTGGAAACGGTTATTCCACTGGATGTCTGGCATCAATGTTGCTCCCGTGGGCCATCTGGTTTACTCAATATTTCCCTAATAGAAGCTAATTATAAGGTGTTATCTAGGTGGTATATGGTTCCTGCCAGACTAGCGAGAATATACCCAGAGGTTTCTCCTCATTGTTTTCAGGGATGTGCTCACCCGGGCATGATGTATCACATATGGTGGGAATGCCCTAGATTGAGACCCTTTTGGAACCGGCTTTATGCTCTAATCTTTAGGGTTACTGGGGTGAGGAGCCCACGAGATCCCCAATATGTGTTGCTGAATCGCCCGATTCCAGGACTGTCTAAAGCTTTGGATAAATGAATTACTTTCTTTTTGTTGGCAGCCAAAATAACCATACCTAGGGCTTGGAAATTGCCAACAATTTAATTCCACTTGGTCAAACAAAAAATGTTGTGGATCATGGTCCATGAGAAACTTCACAGCATCCTCCAAGATACTGAAAAATTATTTGAATTGACCTGGACCCCCTGGATGTTATATACAGGGGTGTTGGAAACCGGGTAACTTCCATTGTACAAATGTTCTGTTCTTTTTTTTGGGTTCTGTTTAATGTTTAAGTAGTAGTTGGGTTATCTGGTCGGGGACGGATCTACTCTTTTTGGACTCTTAAGCTGTCTTTTAGTATCTTTTTTCCTACTCTTTTTTATACCTGTTTTTCCTTTCTTTAGGCTCACACACATGAGCCATTTAGTACATTGATGTTGGACGGAAAGTCTTCTATGTATACAGATATGGAGGAGGTCATACCAAATGTTTGCTTCAGACACAGGTGGATCCCTATGCCTGATATTCCTCTCAGATTGTTTTGATTTTGTTTTTGTTGATGGGGATAATTTGGCAAGAGAAGGTGAATAGATATGTTCTGTTTCACATAACTATTATGCATTGCGTGTATGGTTTCTAGTGATCTTCTCTTACTACCTGACTATGCTAAGTGGAAGAATCTGAGACGCAATTGTATGCTATACTGTTTGTGCATCATGTGCTATCTTATTGTTTTATTCCATCTTAAAAATGTAATAAAATACCTTGAAAGTTAAAAATGTGTGTGGCAATTAAAAATGTTTTTGTGGCTGCAATACTAATCAATTCTATATTAGAAATGAAAAAGGTATATTAAAACTGTTTTATGTTTGCATTACTGAGAATGAAAAGCTTTCAATTAATACAACAATAAGTATATGGCTTCTCTCCTCTGTGAAGCTTTTAAAGCAAGATCTGAGTTTATTTACAATTAAAATATTGATCATATTGATGAATATGGCTTTTCCAGTGTGGGTATCTTCATGCTACTTAAGATTTGTTGTCTATGAAAAATCCTTGCCACATTCTCTACGTAGTTTCTCTCCTGTGTGAATCCTCAGGTGTGAAGTAAGATTAGAACTTCGTGAGAAGCACTTGCCACATTCTGAACATTTAAGTGGTTTCTCTCCTGTGTGAATCCTCAGGTGTGAAGTAAGATTAGAACTTTGTGAGAAACACTTGCCACATTCTGAACATTTAAATGGTTTCTCTCCTGTGTGAGTCTTGTGGTGTAGAGTAAGATGTGAACTTTGTGAGAAGCACTTGCCACATTCTGAACATTCAAATGGTTTCTCTCCTGTGTGGATCCTCTGGTGTTGAGTAAGATGTGAACTTTGTAAGAAGCCCTTTCCACATTCTGAACAATGAAATGTTTTTTTCCCTGTGTGAATTTTCTGGTGTTCAGTAAGTTTAGAATGTTTTGAGAAGCACTTGTCACATTCTGAACATTGAAATGGTTTCTCTCCTGTGTGAATCCTTTGGTGTTGAGTAAGAGTAGAGTATTGTGAAAAGCACATTCCACATTCAGAACATTTACATGGTTTCTCTCCTGTGTGGATCCTCTGGTGTCGAGAAAGAAGAGCATTTTGTAAGAAGCACTTTTCACATTCTGAACATTGAAATGTTTTTTTTCCTGTGTGAATTTTCTCGTGCTGAGTAAGAGTAGAATTGTGTGAGAAGCACTTGTCACATTTTGAACATTGGAATGGTTTCTCTCCTGTGTGAATCCTCTGGTGTATAGTAAGACTAGAACTTTGTGAGAAGCACTTTCCACATTCTGGACATATAAATGGTTTTTCTCCTGTGTGAACCCTAAGATGAACCTTTAGGTGTGACTTATCAGGAAAAATCTTTTGGCACTCGGAACACTCATGGGGATTCTCTCCAACTTTACTCAACTTGTGATAACAAGGTTCTGTGTAGCTGCAAATGTTTTCCACAATAGATGATAAGTGGCTAATTGGGTTCATTAGTATACCTGTATGAAAAATAAAAATAAAAGTTATTGCAGAATCTTGATGTTAACAACAGACTGACATCAGATATTGTGTTTTGAGGTTTTTCTAAGTGAACCACTTCCTCAGTGCCCACAGCACCAAAAAGAAGAAACTGAGTGCATTGAATAAGGCAGATACAACTACTTCAATAAAGATATATTAAAATGTATGAGATCTGGGCATTTCACTAAGAATAACTTCCAAAAAAACACCAGGTCACACAAGAAATAAGTTAAAACTCTCTCACAAAATGTCCATCAATAGTAGAGGAGGCAAGCCAGGTGAAAATTGCGCTCTTATTGCCTCATTATTAAGTTCACAGGGTTCTCCTCCTGTTCTTTGAGCAGCAATCCCCACTAACAACATATTCGCATGCCCCACATCCCTAAGAGAGCGCTGTGCTTTTTTCTTCTTGTTGAAAACTGTGCTGTGAGATCTGGGAAAACCTATGTGAAAAAACCCCACAAACATGCCCCAAACTGATACAAAGAAAGGGGATTATAATTGTAATCTGGGTGGACATTCACTACGCTAGCATGTTTTATTGATGTGCCCCCTTAACACTGTCACTTTATGAAGGGGCATGGCCCCAAAAAACCTAATTTTAGTGGAGGTACTTGGGATTTTAGTTTAGATTACTTTGCTGAGGCTCTCTCGGAGTGCACAGCTGTTTTCCATCTGGTTTACCCCATATTGCTGGACATTTCCTCAGAGCGTTTTATCTCCAGTGCGGTGTGTCCCGGTTTTCCTTTGGATGATATTCTTGGTGATATGCCCTGATTTGGTCACTTATGTGTTAGTGCATTTTTAAATTATATTTCATTAAAGTAGTTTTATCTACACAATCCAATGTGCTTCTTTTTACTTTGTTTTATGCATGATTGTTTTGGCCTTTGGATTGCCTTCCACAGCTTTATGTAACAAAAGTCGTAAACTCAAAGAAAGTATAGATACATGACTTTACTGGTTTTTAGATGAATAAATCAAGGGGTACAACTATAGTTTTCTCATATTTCAGGTAACCTTAGTCTGTTGCCTTCGTATAGTAATGACTAGACATGATGGGGTTCAGTTATTAAAGGCAAATAGGCTGTTCATTTTGCAAGAGAATTTTCAGTTTGAAAAGGGGATTTTCATTTAGCTCATTGTTTGATTGAATTTGATTCATTTGTCTAGGTTTGGGATTCGAATTATTAAAACCAAAGTGAAGCTGCTACAATTGAGGATCATAGAAGGTATTTTCAATATTGTAGACACACATTCATATCTTTCTCTGTCTACTTTGTAGAAGCTGCTGCAAACTCAGTTTGCAGCAGCTTCTACAAAATATCTTCTGGTATTTTCAATATTGAAACTGGTAGATTAGGTTAGGTTTGAGGTGAGTTAATGAGGTTGATTTACTAATCTAGTTGGTTTAGTTTAGAATCTTTATTTTAAAAAACTGGGAATTTTAACTTCAGTTATACAATCGTTTTGGAAACGAATTCCTACTGCCTTTAAATAGCCAATAATGTGCAGATGAAATAAGTACATTTATTTAATCTCAAGCAATTCAATTGGAAATTATGAACAAAGTTATGTACAAGATTGGTAAAAAATGCAATGAAATAAGACTGTAATACATTTGTCATAGTAGGCCGAAACATTTAAACAAACTACTCAAGTGCACCATTTTACAGCATATAGATACCTGGAATAGTGTAATATGAAGATATCTCAGCAGCTCCTTCCTTTCCTGACAATTCTGTAATTCTAGTAACAAACTGAGCTCAGCCTCACCTTAAATACAAGTCACCACAACTCACCAGCATGAGGCGATATTAGATTTGATAATTGGTTTAATTTACCTAACAAAAGGCATGTTTCCAATATAGGACAGTGTGATAATTCTTTGATATCACTCACCATCCCATTCATTAGCATGTAAATACTGGGAGGGATCCTTCCCTTTAGCAGCTCAATAACTTTAGCACCCAATAAAGCAAAACAATGATTTAATTATCATTGGAAATGGCCAACAGATACATTTTGGTCTTTTTAAAAAAAAAACAAATCCCACATTATTTTCTCCGAATACCTTTACATAAAATATTGAATTGTATCAAATAACCAGGGACATGTTGGACTAATTTTTTATACCCAGCTCAGTTGCCCAATGTGATGCTTGTTTGGAGAATTTACAGAAATGATGGACAGTACAGCTTGAGGAGTGGTGATTCACAGATGTGTCTGCCTGTCCACAGACAATGGTGATCACCTGAAATTTGTCAAAATGAACCAGGCTTGAATCTCAGATGCCTTGCACACTCCCTGACAGCTTTCAATTAGCATCTGCTTCATTTAATGAAGTTTCTTTGTCCATAAAGGAGCATATATTTACAAAATTAAGAGAACACCCTGTTTTTGCTGGGAGGTGGTGTCTCTTCTTAATTAAACATATGAAGACAAAAAGCGCCAGAGACAACCACTCCATTGAAGGGTTAACAAATGAAAATGCTACAGGTCGCTGCCCCACTTCAGCTAGGGAGACTGTGATATCTAAAAGAAAACACAAACAAGGGGCGCCTTCCCTAGTGTAGATACATTTTTTTCAAGTAGAGGCAAAAAGTAGGAATTGTATGCCTGAGAGTAGATAGACATGAGCCTTGAAAAGTAGAGGATGTAACTCATACAATAAACCAGGATGAGGCAAGTGAGAGCTGCACAGATGTTCCTGTGTGCCAGCAAGGAATGCCTGCGTTGACACGTTTCTGGGGTCACGCCTCTTTCGTCAGAACCTAACCTCCCCCTCCTCTCCATAGAATAAATTGTAGATGGCAGCCAATCGGACCGACCTCCAATAGTTAGTCAATGCGTGAATCTCCACCTAATGGGGGTGTGAACAGTAAAGGACCTAGACGGTCTTCAATGCTCCCCGCCCGAGGTTCTGATGAAGGGGGCGTGACCCCCGGAAACTCATCAACGCTGGCATTCCTTGCTGGCACACAGGAACAATTCCTATTTTTTGCCTCTATTTGAATAAAATGTATCTACACTAGGGAAGGCGCCCCTTGTTTGTGTTTTCTCTTCTTAATTAGTAAAACGTGAAAAATAGAATTAAGACTATAATAAAGCCTTTCTCTAACCAGGATTCTGTGGAACCTTAGGGTTTCCTCCAGAAATTGATAGGGGTTCCTTGAGTTGTATCTGATTTACCTCTCATCTGAGGGTGCCTACAAAATTCAGGGTCCAACATCACTTGGCAGAGACAGTGGAATGACACCAGTGATCTGTTTAGCTGTGGCATTCTGACCATCACTATAAGGGGGCTTCCCTGGCCATAAGTTTAACCCCCTCCCGTCCGGCGATCGTTGAAAGACGGCCGGACGGGAGTCTCCTGGATGCGGGTGGGCGTCTATAGACGTCCTTTGTGCCCGCGCCCCCTGGCGCGCACAAGCGGGAACCCGCCAGGATTTTAAACAGCCAGCGATGGCTGTTTACATACAAGCGGTCCGGCGTCCGTAAACACACGCGATTGCTTGTATAATGTAAGTGAGGGTGCACCCCCCCTCCTTACCTCTCGTTGCCGTTGCTGTCCCCGCCGCCATCGTCCCCGCGATCCCGGTGTCTATCTGTCCCGGGCGAGGTGGCTCTGCTCACTGAGAATGGAGGGAGTTCAGTCTGCAATCTCCCTCCGCTCTCCTCCGGTCTCTGAATGCAGGAAGCGATGTATATTAAATCACTTTCACATTCCTCTGTCACTCTCCGGTACAGAAACCGGAGAGAAGCTGATGAAGCAGATGTCTGCTTCATCAGCTTCTCTGGGGGTCCCTAGGTGACATTAGGGGTCTTAGAGACCCCTGATGTCTCCATAAAGGGGACCTGTAACTGTAATATTGTTATCACATAGGAGCACCCTATGTGATAACAATAAAGTTAAGTGTAAAAAAAAAAAAGTAAAAAAAAAAATGCTCACAAAATAAATACAAATGTACACACACAAAACAAAACAAAAACCACAAAATGTTTTAAAAATCCCCCACCCCCACATAGATGCACAAAAATGCGTTACATGCGCCTACACGCAAAAACTGTGATTTCTCCAATTATGCTGCACGTGTTACATATCGCCGCGAATGTCGCAATGAGAGCAATAATTGTAGGGCCATCAATCACTGATAACACTAAACTGATGAGCCGTAAAATCTTTTAAAGCGTCGCCTATGGCAAATTTTGGCTATGGTGGTTTTTTTGCGATTTCGCGGGCGCGCGCAATTTTAAAGCTTGACATGTGACCCTGCTTTTTATATTATACCAAAAAAATGGGTAAAAATTATTGTTTTCTAAAATAATAAAGGGAAAACCATTTTTTTTAAATATTCGGTACTTTTTTGTTGTATATAAAAAAAAAACCCCTAGTGGTGATTAAATACCACCAAAAGAAAGCTCTATCTGTCCAAAAAATATGGTATAAAATTAATTTCAGTACAGCGTTGCATGACGGAATAAACGTCAATCAAAGTAACGCAGCGCTGAATACTGAAAAATGGCCTGGCCAGGAAGGGGGTGTAAACACCCCGGTCTGCAAGTGGTTAAGGGGTTATTTTTCCCACTGACTTCCAATGGATTTTAGCAGGGGTTCTCTAAGACCCCAAAACAATTTCAAGAGTTCTTCTGGGGTAAAAAGGTTGAGAAAGGCTTCTATAATGCATTCAATGTGTAATACATGTGACACATTAAAAAAGCATTTCAAAATCTAACACAAGTGTACAATCATAAGAAATATAGATACCTGGAATGGTGTAGTGTAGAGATGTCTCAAAGGCTCCTTGTTCTCCTGGCCTGCCGGTGATTTTTGTAACTGACTGAGCCTTGCCTCTCCTTAAATACATTTAGGCTGGGTTCACACCTGAGCGTATTTTTTATGCTTGTTTTTCAGCTCGGTTTTTTTCGTTCAGTGAAACGTGCGTTTCACTGGCGGTATGTTTTTTTTCGTTTATTTTCTCTACTTACATTTTTTTTTAAAGTATCACTTTTAAACTTCCCGCCGGCTCCGCCCCGTGCGACGCGATTGCTCTCAAGGGACAGAACCCGGAAGTCGGCAGCCGCTGGAAGACAAAGCGGGGATCGCAGAAAAGGTGAGACCTGTATCCCGAGTGTGGCTCGGGGTCCCGCTTTGTTAACCCGGATCCACACTCGGGAATACCAATGGAAACGCGCGGCAAAATGCCCCAAAGAAGCTCCTGTACTTCTCTGGGCGTAGGGTGTTTTGCAGCGCGTTCCTACGTGCTGTAAAATGCCCAGGTGGGAACCATGCCCATAGCAATCATTGGTTTTCCCATGTTGAGCGTTTTACAGCATGTAGGAACGCGCTGTAAAACGCCCAGGTGTGAACCAGACCTTATCCTTCACTCATTAACACAAGGTGGCTTTGGATTTGCTAATGTTGATTTAATCTACATAACAAAAGGCACATTTCCAATATTTGTATTGGTCAATGTGAGTATCCTTTCTTTTCGCCCACCTTCCCAGTCATTAGCATTTAAATACTGGGAGGGGATATAACAGGAAGGAATCACATTTGGAAATGAATTATAATTGGCTAATGAAATACCAAAAACAGATAACATATTGATTTTATTATCAATAGAAATGGTCCACAGATACTTATTGTTACCATAAAAAGTGGTATATAAAATGCATGGTTTCTTATATAACCCTTCACATGTAGGGTGGTCACAAATGAACCAACGTAGTCCCAATTAAAAAGCTTGATATAAAGTTTGAATGAGGATTAGGTTTCAGAAAGGTTATTCAGGGAGTAAATCTATCTTGATGCATATAGGTTGCCAGGGAAAAAAAATGAGCGAATATCTGCCCAATGGGGCCACAGACGGTACTAAAAACTGAGATTCTGATATTTGCAAATATAAAACAAATAAGCAGTGGAGTCACTTCAGTGTATTTCAGATACATATTACAGTAAGATCCCTTAACTTGGGATAGCCATGATCCCTGTGCTGCCTATGTTACCATTTGGTAGAAGGATGTTGAATTTTATAGGTGCATACCTGTGACAACTGTAAATTTGGAGTAAATTTGGCCCATAGATCTAGGACCTTATCTGCCATAGAATGCCATCATCAATGTGGACTCTGCACGTGTGCAGATTGAAATGATAATAAAGAGATGTCACCAGCACACCAGACTCCCTCAAGGATAGTCAATCGTGAATTTATTCAAAACTTATGTCAAATACACAAGCGCTTTCGGGACCACACAGGATCCCTTCATCAGGCATTGCAGTGACATAGCAGTCACTGCTATACCTGATGAAGGGATCCTGTGTGGTCCCGAAAGCGCTTGTGTATTTGACATAAGTTTTAAATAAATTCACGATTGACTATCCTTGAAGGAGTCTGGTGTGCTGGTGACATCTCTTTATTATCTGCAACTGGCGGCGCCATCCGCGGTCATTCAAAGCACCCTTCCCCATATTTGGGATTATCCAGTAAGGAGTGCAACAAACCTTTATCTTCATATCCAGATTGAAATGATGACACATAATACATTGCATATATGCTAAAACAGCTTTGGATAAGAAAACCTTTGGAAATGTTTGTTAAAACTGTATCCTATATAGTAGATAACATAAAGGTTATGTGGTCATGGAGAAATTTGGCAATTTGATTTTTTCATGAATGGATTGATATAATTTACCAGCATACATTGCATATTTGTTAACATAGCCTTGGATAACGAACCTCATCACATGGACGCGTTAAGGCTTGGTTAGCTCCACATGTGATCTATGTCTTTAGATGCTTAGTTTACACTATAAATGATTAAAATGGCAGTGTACATGGAGCTCTACTTTTTTTATTTTGTAATGTTTACCAACAGTTGTATCTAGTGATATATTTTAGGCCCCATTCACACTGAGCGACATGAAAATCGCGTGACTTTGAGCGATATTGCGCGACGAGCGATATTGAGCGACGTGTCGCGCAACTTTTTCCTATTGGGCTGTATGCAATCAGGAGCAATATCGCTCAAAATCGCTCGAAAAAAGGGTCATGTAGGAGCGACAAGCTACCAGCGACGAGTTACAAGCGATATTGAGCGATATTGAGCGATATTGAGCGATATTGAGCGACGAGATGTGAACAGCTCCATTGAAATGTATTGGAGAAGCTACATAGAGCGATATCACGCGCAAATATGAGCGATATCGCTGCAAAAATCGCGCGATAAATCGTTCAGTGTGAACCGGGCCTTAGAGATTAAATTAAAAAAAAAATCAAATTTACAAGTTTATGTAAAAAGATTGCTAATAAAAGTTAAAAAAAAGAACCCTAAAACTATAATACATTCACAATGAAATACATTTGTCAAAGTAAAAAAATAAACATTTAAAGCAAGTACACAAAGTTATTAAGTAGAGATACCTGGAATGATGTAGTATAGAAATGTCGCTATTCTCACATCTAATGCAAGTGTATAGAACTTGCAAAGGCCTGATGATGTCAGCAGGCTTAGGCTTTATTATATAGAGTTTCAATTGTCCATATTAACGTTTTTTTATATTATGCAGAATAGAAAAGCGCTGCGCAAATTGTTTGTGCTATATAAATCCTGTATAATAATAATAATAATAATAGAAGATATGTTTGAACACATATGGGTCTGGAAAAATCTAACACTTCCAGAGTATCCAAGAAATACACTGAGTGGCCAGATTATTATGACCACCTGACGTTTGTAGGCAAATTAGCTATAATTTCGCGCTGAAGTTGCTAGAGGGCCAGACCATTATAAATAGGGAAGCAGGTTTTTTTACCACGAGAGTAGAAGTGATTTGTTTCTGAAGATACGGGTAAACAACGCGATTTAACAGCCTTTGAACGTGGGATGATTGTTGGCGCTCGGAGCCATGGAGCGAGTATCAGCAAAACAGCAGAATTCGTTAAATGTTCAAGAGCAGCTGTTGTTAAAGTGTTTAAAGACTGGACTGTCAGCCGAAAATCTGGGTCTGAACGTGCGAATTGTGGCCGTCAGCGACTAGTCAATGTTAGGGCAGAACGGAGAGTGGCAAGACTGGTACAAGACAACAGAAGGGCAACAGTGCAGTGTCAGATTCCTCGCATCACCTTTCAACATCTCGTGGAGTCACAAGGCGGCCCAACGAAGTCATCTCGTGGAGTCATCTCGTGGCCCAATGAAGTACTGATGGGTGGTCATAATAATCTGGCCACTCAGTGTATAAGAACATAGCGGATCCTCCTGTGTCTAAAATATCAATGTTGTCACTAGACATGTGCGATTTGTTTCGTTCCGAAATAAAATTCGGACGAAATTTTGGAAATCCGGAGATTCAGATGTATCCGAATTCCGAATTACAGCTAAAACGAATGAAAACGAATCCGAATTTACGATCCCCTGTGTGTGTCCTCTGGTGATAAGTAAGAGTGGAACTATGTGAGAAACACTTACCACATTCTGGACATATAAAGGGGTTCTCTCCTGTGTGGATCCTCTTGTGTTGAGTAAGATTATATTTTGCAGAGAAGCATTTGTCACATTCTGAACATTGAAAGGGGTTCTCACCTGTGTGAATCCTCTGGTGTCGAGTAAGATTAGAATTTTCTGAGAAGCTCTTGCCACATTCAGAACATTTAAATGGTTTCTCTCCAGCGTGAACCTTCTTATGTCGAGTAAGATTAGAATTTTCTGAGAAGCTCATGCCACATTCAGAACATTGAAATGGTTTCTCTCCAGTGTGGATCCTCATATGAGGAGTAAGATTAGATCTTTTTGGGAAGCACTTGTCACATTCTGGACATTTAAATGGCTTCTCCCCGGTGTGGATCCTAAGATGAACATTCAATTCTGACTTTTTTGGAAAACTTTTTTGGCACTCATAGCACTCATATGGTTTTTCTACAACTTTAGCCATCTTGTGATAATGAAGATCTGTATTGCTTTTTTCACAGTGGGTGTTGAATGGCCAATTGAGCTAATTAATCGACCTGTATGAAAAATAAATACACATGTTTACACAGAATCTTATTATTAACAACAGGCTGACATCAGATTGTCTTTTGAGATTTTTACATTGTATCACTTCCTCAGTGCCCACAGCATTAGAAGTAATAGATCACGCTGGATACTGCAGATACAATTACTTTAATAAAAATATATATCAAACAAATGCACTTACATAGAAGTGACTAGATCAGGTTATACAGTATCACCAAGAATATCTTCCAATGGAACCTCAGGTCTCACAGGACTGAAGTTGACAAACTCTCACAAAATGTCCGGCAGTAGGAGAGGAGACAAGCCAGTTGGGAAACCAGGCTGTAAAGTCTGGGAGATGTCTTAGCAAAGTAAACCACAAAAGCGTCCCAACCTGGTAAAAAAGAAAGGGGACTAAAAATGTAATCTTGCTAACCAAGTACCTTCATTACACTGACATTTTCCAGGCTGTGCTCCTTCATCAGAGTTACTTATGAATGAGTACGGTCCTTAAGCATGTAAGTGTAGTGGAGGTAATTGGGATGTTTTTGTAGTTTACTTCACTGAGGCTCACTCAGATTTCATGGTGGAGTTTTCCACCTGGCTTGTCACCTGTCCTACTACCGGCCATCTTGTGAAGTGAATAAATTAAAGGTGATTTATTATATGTAGTTTAGAATCTACACGTAAAAACTGTGCTTATATTAACAGACACCCCAAATCTCCCGGACGCTCCGGGATTCTCCCGCTATTAGCGGCTCCTGGCCACACGGGAGAGAAACATTTTCTCCCGGAAAGGTTTACTCTGCTATTTCAGAGTAAACCTTTCCCTGTGATGTTTTTTTTCCCCCTGACATCGAGGCCGCCGGCCACTTGAGTCAGAGAAAACAAAAACGCATAGGAATACATAGCTAGATGGCTATTGGCTATTTCACTTTGCAATAGCCAATAGCAGACTAGCTATGGCACCCACCCACTGCTGCTGTCATTCAGTAGAGGGGGACCTGAGGTTTTCCATCAGGTCTTCTTCTAGTGATTGGCAGCAGCAGAGGGCTGGTGCAATAGCCAGCTTGCTATTGGATATTGCAAATTGAAATAGCCAATAGCCATCTAGCTATGTATTCACATGCTGGTTTTGTTTTTATTCTGACGGCAGCAGCTGTCAGAATACAACAAAAAAAAACAACAAACACCCAGCAGATAGCAAAGAAGCTATCTGCCATCATTTCAGGGGGTGCTCCGCTCCCCCCCCCTGTGCATGGGGGGGCGGGGCAAGGAGCAGCTCCCAGATTGGGATCCCTATATTAACTTCAGTTATCCAAATATGCACAAAGTTAATTCCTACTCACTTTAAATACCCAATAATTTGCAGATGAGATAAATAAAATGAAATGATCTGAGGAAATTCAAATGGTGAATAAAAATGATGTACATTGTACAAGATTGCTAAAAAAGGAAATAAAATACGACTGTGATAAATTTAAGCTGAAATACATCCAGAGCAAGCAAAACCATTTGAACAAGTAACTCAATTGCACCGTCATACAATGTATATATACCTGGAATAGTGTAGTATAGAGATATCTCAGCAGCTCCTCCTCCTGACAATTCTGTAATTCTAGTAACTGACTGAGCTCAGCCACACCTTAAATACAATTCACCACAACTCACCAACATGAGGCGATATTAGATTTACTAATAGGATTCATTTACCGAAAGGTATGTTTCCAATATAGGACAGTGTGATCCTCATTCGCTATTACTCACCATCCCAGTCATTAGCATGTTAATATTGCGATGGACTGTAACAGGAAAGATCGTATTTCCACCTTGTGTATGAAAGTGACACAAAATGTGTTTGAGGAAAAGTATGTGTAAATATAGTGAGGGGAATTTATCAAAACTGGAGCAGACAAAATCTGGAGCAGCTGTGCACGGTGACGGGGCAGTTTCTCTCTTTCATTTTCAAATCTTAACTGAATAAACTGAAGAGAGAAGCTGATTGGTTTCCATGGGCAACTGCTCCAGATTTTGTCTGCTCCAGTTTCGATAAATTCCTCCCAATGTGTATCCAAAGTTTTATGAACAATGTGCTGTACTGTGCTGCTGTGTGCTCAGCTGTCATCTTTACATTCCTCCCCCCCTCCCCCCCAAGGTATCACAGTGACAACTAGCAAAGGAAGAAGGAGGATGAACATTGAAGAAAACTTCAAACAACAGGAACTAGATTGGGGGAAGTCAGCTTGTATCTTCTCTTCCCTCTCAATATCCATCCTGTCACTTTCTGTTTCTGTGTTCTCTCTAACTCTCTCTTGTTCTCACTCTGTGCTCTATCTCTCTCTCTCCTGCCCTGTATGCTTTCTCTCCCACCCTGCACTCTCTCTCCCGCTCTGTGCGCTCTCTCAATCTGCGCTCTCCCGCTCTGCGCTCTCTCTCTCCCACTCTGCACACTCTCTCTCCCGCTCTGCGCTCTCTCTCTACCGCTCTGCGCTCTCTCTCTACCGCTCTATCTCTACTGCTCTGCACTCTCTCCCGCGCTCTCTCCCGCTCTGTGCGCTCTCTCTCCCGCTCTGCACTCTCTTTCTCCCGCTCTGTGCTCTCTCTCTCCCGCTCTGTGCTCTCTCTCTACCGCTCTGCTCTCTCTCTACCGCTCTGCGCTCTCTCTCTACCGCTCTATTTCTACTGCTCTGCACTCTCTCCGCGCTCTCTCTCCCGCTCTGCGCACTCTCTCTCCCGCTCTGCACTCCTTCTCTCCCGCGCTGAACTCTCCCTCCCGCTCTGCGCTCTCTCTCCCGCTCTGCACTCTCTCACTCTGTGCTCTCTCAATTGATATCTCCCGCTCTGCACCCTCTCTCTCCCGCTCTGCGACCTCTCTCTCCCGCTCTGCGCCCTCTCTCTCCCGCTCTGCGCTCTCTCTCTCTTCCGCTCTGCGCTCTCTCTCCCACTATGCATCTCTCTCTGTGCTCTCTCTCCCGCTCTGCGCTCTCTCTCTCCTGCTCTGCATTCTCTCTCCCCTCCTGGGCTCTCTCTCTCCCACCCTGCACTCTCTCTCCAGCTCTGTGCACTCTCTCAATCTGCGCTCTCCCGCTCTGCGCTCTCTCTACCGCTCTGCACGCTCTCTCTCTCTACCGCTCTGCGCTCTCTCTCTACCGCTCTGCGCTCTCTCTCTACCGCTCTGCGCTCTCTCTACCGCTCTGCGCTTTCTCTCTACCGATCTATCTCTACTGCTCTGCACTCTCTCGCTCCCGCGCTCTCTCCCGCTCTGCACGCTCTCTTTCCCGCTCTGCACTCTCTTTCTCCCACTCTGCGCTCTCTCCCGCTCTGCGCTCTCTCTCTCCTGCTCTATCTCTACTGCTCTGCACTCCCTCTCTCCACTCTCTTACTCTACACTCTGCTCTCTCTCACTCTGTGCTCTCTTTGGCTCGCTCCGCTCTCTCTCTTTGGCTCGCTCCACTCTCTCTTTCGCTCCATTCTCTCTTTCGCTCGCCTCGCTCCACTCTCTCTCTTTTGCTCTCTCTGCTTTAGAACTCCAAAAACACGCTCTCTCTGCACACTCTCGTTCTCTGCACGCTCTCTCTCTCTGCGCACTCTCTGTGTGCTCTCTCTCTGCGCTCTGTCTGTGCTCTCTCTCTCTCTGCGCGCGCGCTCTCTTTCTTTGCGTGCGCTCTCTCTGCGCTCTCTCTCTGCACACTCTCTCTGCACGCACTCTCCGCGCTCTCTCTGCACACTCTCTCCCTCTCTCTGCACGCTCTCTCTGGCCATTTGTACAGGTTCGTGCTGCAAACATTTTAAAAATACATGATGTGCACATTGCAAACATTTGTTTTTTTAGAACTTCAAAAACATGCTCTCTCTTTCTGCATGCTCTCTCTCTCTGCGCTCTCTCTCACTCTCTGTGCGCTCTCTCTCTCCCACTCTGCGCTCTCTCTCTACCGCTCTGAGCTCTCTCTCTCTACTGCTCTGAGCTCTCTCTCTACCGCTCTGAGCTCTCTCTCTACCGCTCTGTGCTCTCTCTCTCCCGCGCTACACTCTCTCCCGATCTGCACGCTCTCTCTCTCCCGCTCTGCACGCGCTCTCTCTCCCGCTCTGCACTCTCTTTCTTGCTCTGCACTCTCTCTCTCACTCTACGCTCTCTCTCTCACTCTATGCTCTCTCACTCTACGCTCTGCGCTTTGTCACTCTGTGTGCTCTCTCTCTGCCTGTGCTCTCTCTCTGTGCGCGCACTCTCTTTCTTTGCGTGCGCTCTCTCTGCGCAGTCTCTCTTTGCGCTCTCTCTCGCATTTGTACAGGTTCGTGCTGCAAACATTTTAAAAATACATGATGTGTTCATTGCAAAGATTAGTTTTTTCAGAACTTCAAAAACACGCTCTCTCTCTCTGTGCGCGCTCTCACTCTCTGTGCGCGCGCTCTCACTCTCTGTGCGCGCGCTCTCACTCTCTGTGCGCACACTCTCTTTCTCTGCACGTGCTCCCTCTATCTGCGCCCACGCTCTCTCTCTGCACATACACTCTCTCAGCGCGCACGCTCTCTCTGCGCGCACGCTCTCTCTGCGCGAACGCTCTCTCTCCCTTTCTCTGCGTGCACGATTTCTCTGTGCGCGCTCTCTCTGCACTCTCTCTCTCTACGCTCTCTCTGGAGAAACTGGAGCACCACCTAACAAAACAATCGCTACTTAAAAAGTCCCCATGACCACTTCTTCAAGAAGCGATAGTTAAGCTTCTTGCCCGGAGTTACGAGTCTTCTTTCCTGGAGACTATTTAATCTCATTTATCAACAACATTACACATCATAAATCTGGTGCAAAGTGCATCAAATATATTCCGTGCAAAGTTCAAACACTCGCAATGGCCATGATAAATTCCCCCCAATGTGTATCCAAAGCAGACACTGACCTGTGAGGTAGATCTCATATTAGAAGTCCA